TACATGAAAATCAGCTTACTGAAAATTTACGCAAAATTACATAAAATTACGTAAATTACGGTAATTTGACAACCCTAACCCTAACTCAAAATTTTACCATGACACATAAATTTCTAAATAAAATAGGCCAAAATGTCATTTTGATTTCATTTTAATCTGCGCAATGAATACTGTATTAATATTTTCTTATTAACAAGAACAGATTATCGTATGTCCATATTGAATTTTGGAAAAATTTGTTGAAAAAAGCTTTGCTATCGGATTACATCTTCACTACTAGGCTAAGGTTGTAATACCAGAATGTTACAAGGAAACGTTTTTTTTTTTTCAAGATTAAAGCCTGCACGGGACGGTTGAATTAGAAAATCTCACATAAAATTGTGGGCCCGACATTTCATAAACATAGTTAAATGCGTCTAAAAAACAATAAAATTTATTTTATGGACTGTATAGGCCGGCAAAAGTACAATTTTTAGACCCGTGCACCCCACTTTCGGTTATTTTTCAGAAGGTTGTTCTAAAATTTGATTGGTCAAAAAAAAATTCTTTAAAAGTTGCGTGTTCTAAACCTTGCAGCACTATTACTATTGTGAGCATTCTAATTTATTTAATAAACAAAAAAATATACGATTTTTTTACATACGTGTGCAAGTACTAACGTCAGTGCGAATTACCTTTTATAGTTTACTTTTACCATGATACACAAAAAAATGATGTAAATATTGCTAAATATATAGTGGCATACGTAAATACTTTTTCTTTCTCAAAAAAATTAAAAATGTCGGACCGTTACTTACAAAATACATTGAAACTCCCAAATATTAATGAATGCGATCCAAAAAAATTTGAAAAGTTTATTGTAGATAACGTTGATGTGATTCTCTCTCAATATCCCGCTGCAAATAATACTCATGATTTTGATGTGTTTAATGGTAAAGATGAATTTTGCTTTGTAAATTTTTCATTCCAGAATACCCGTTTTTAAATAAATATCGTGGTATATTATTTAGGATACGGAGGAATTGCTTTTATGTTTTTTCGCTTACATCAACTCTTTCCTGACCTAACAATTAATGGAAATAAAGTATCTCTTTTGTGCGCCACATACCTATCCGCTGCTTTATCAGCAGTCCGTAGAAGTTCTCAAGAACATGTTGGATTTTTAGGTAGTCACGTTGGGCCATTAGCTTTGGCCGTTGTAGTTTATGAAACCATTGAAAACGATACTCAAAAATCGTTAAAATACCTTGATACTATTCTTGAAAAATACCATTCATTGGCATTAAAGGATGATTGGAATGAATTACTATATGGTCGAACTGGATATCTTTATTCTTTAATCTTTATTAGAAAGTATTGCAAAGATAATGTGGAAATTATGACAAGAGTTGGGAATGAAAAATTAAAAGAAATCATTGAATTAATCATAAAGGATGGTAAAAAAAGAACAATTATTGATAACACAATTGCGAGACTAGCTTTAATGTGGAGTTGATATGGTGATGAATATATAGGAGCCATACATGGTGTTGGCTTGTATATATAGGAGCCATACATGGTGTTGGCTTGTATATATATATAAATATATGTGCGTGTTTATTTATAATCCAATTCTTTTCTTATTTTATTTCTATAATAGCTGGAATTATTACTATTATTCTTCATTGTGAAGAATTGGCTCAACCCTACTTTGATGAATTATTTCAAACCATTGAATGGCTTACAGGGTTAGTTCCACAAGATAAAAATCATCCTGCAGATACTCAGTCAACTGATGATTATCTCGTTCAGTAAGTATCTTTATATTAAATCGCACCAATTATAGTCTTGTATCCAACTCATCCTTCATCTAAAAATCTTTTTTCGAATGCAATTTCTAAAACTGATTTAGTTTGGGAGCATGGAATTTTGAGAAAAGGTGCAACAGGTCTTTGTCATAATACTCTTGGCAATGCTTATACATTTCTCATGACTTACCTTGTTACACAAGATGAAGAACAACTTAAAAGGGCGTTGGCATTTGGATTATATGGAGGTGAATGGGAAGATAAAACTCGGAAAGGTGAAATACGAGTCCCAGACCATCCATGGAGTCTTTTTGAAGGTCTTGCTGGTGGCATTGTTTATTGGGCCGATTTAATAACTGTATTAAAGGATGTTCAACAACTAGGTGTAAGTAGCATGCAAGATAAAGTAGTTGGATTTCCTTGTTTCACCGATTTGTAGATTTTATTGAAATTAAGATTTCAAAAATCTATTTGCTCAATTTTGATGAAAATGACTGTATCTGTATATTCTATATTTTAACATCCGTGGTCTTTAAAAAATTCTAATTGACCTAAGTCTGTTATGTAACCAAATAAGTTTAATCACCACGTGAAGCTGTCTTATATTTAAATATTATCATAATTCGATTTATAAATACATACAATTTTAATAACACTAGCATTTATATAAATAAATAACAATAGTTCTATCTTATTATGAGATAAATTTATTCACAATTTCTTAATACTCACGCATCATTTGATTTAATTTTTGATTTCTAGCATATAAAAATCTGCTAGTTATTTTTCATCATGCAAAAGGTTTTTTGCATTATTTGGTTTGATTCTTTATACTTGTTCATCTTGCGATAAGTTTCTTCATGTTATCTTAATGCCCATGCATTATTTGGTTCAATTCCTTTTTTTTATAAATAATTGTTTTAACCAATAAATTTCCAAATATCAAAAAATTTAAGGAGTTAAGAGATTTTTAAAAGCTAGTAAATTAACTGCCAAATAAAAAAATAAGAATATGACATAAGAATTTGACACTTGATGGAAAAAATTACATTTTTACAGTAGCAATTTTTTGCTAATAAAAATCAAAGTGCTAAAATACTCAAAAAGTTAATCAGGTTCTGAAAGTACATAAAAGTTAACGATTTGGAAACACCATAGTTTGAATTCACTAAGTATCAATGAAAATAATTCAATAAATATTAGCAAGGCTATTATGATGGTATTGAGGTTGAATATAGGGTTCTAGTCAAAATTAAGCCAAATTAACGATACTTAAATAACTTAGCTTATAACTAATATTCTTAAGTTTGACGGTTCTCTCATATTTTGACAACAGTGAACATATGATATTCAAATGAGTTAAATGCAGGAATTTGAAAGAGCTATATAAAATGTGATATTTCTTGGAATTGACAAATACAAATTATTTGTGGCATTTGCAGTTAGAGATTAGAATCGATGAGTTTCGGGCATTGATTCTAGATTTTTGAGCATCGATAAAAAATTTTGACCGATGTTCGAATTGAGTTTTTAAAAAATACATAAAAGAATTTAATATAACATGAAATTTATCAATTGTACCATTAATCCTAGACATCAGAAATAGTAAAATCATTTGTTTCATATTACGCTTTAGAAATACCAAATAAATAACGTTCTTTTCGCACTCATAACATTCCTGCATTTGAAAGCAAGCGTTCACTTGGTGTGCTTGTTGCAGGTATTGCAAGAAATTTTCGGGCCATTTCACTTAAAATCGGAAATTGCCATTTTTGTAAAGACTACCACACCATGGGATCTCCCTCGAAATCAAGCTAAGAAAGAGCAAGATAATTTGTAACTTCGTTATTATCTTGGTTTTGCAGCTTGATGAAAAAACAGATTAATGAACCCTTTACGGTAGGCTTATTTTTTATTTCGATTAGTTACAGAAACTAATGTGGATGTCGATGAAGTAACTTGTTTAGATAAATAGTGCCGCTCCTTAAATTCTGCATACATATTATATCTATGAACACGGTTGTAACGTTTGTACGAAAATTGGTATGAATCTAGTATGACCGTTGGATACGAACGTTGGTATTGACGTTCATAAGAGCATTGGTATTAACGTTCACATATCGTTGATTAGTACAATGATTGTAATAAAAAATTATAATAATGTTATAGCAATGTAAACAAATTTAAAATAACAATTAGATGACTATTATTTGTACATATCTTATCCCGAAATATAAGTTTTTTTCCATGTGTTTGATCTGGTGGTTGTCAATAAATTTTCAGTTAAAGTTTGAAAATTTTTAAATGTATCGAATTCGGATAGATAATTGTTGAGAAACCTTCGTTTAAAGTTAAAAAAAAAAAAATGAAAATTTTCCCGAGTTTTTCCTACCTTTTTTTTTTGAAACCTCTAGTGAATATTTCTCGACAACCACTGAACCAATTCAATGATTCTTTTTAATTCTGCAAGAGTATGAGTTAAAATAAACAATTTTTATTGAATTTAATCAAGTGGTTATTAAATTATTAAAAGGATCAATTTTGTTAATTGGCTGTTGTTACGAAAAATAACGAAATATTTGTAAATAAGCTTTTGTGTAATTAGCATAAATAGTATATAGCTAATTTGAGTCTGATAACTTGTATATAAAGATAGATATTCTTTGTAAATAGGGATAGAGTTTAGGAAGTATTTCTTTTCTTTAGTTGGAATAGAGGATATTTTAGAGGATATTTGTGTACCAGGTACACTTGATAGGAAGATACTTACTTGTATCGCATATATTTTTTTGTACTTTTATTGTCTTGTGCGTGATAATAAATAATTGGTTTCCTGTCTTTAATGCTTACGACCAGAGTTGAATTAGCAGTACAGTTATAAAGCCTCTCCCTTGTCATAACACTGTTTCTTTTTAGGAATCTGTATTACCAGCATAAATAAGTAAGCCGTCCTATCTGTTGTATCCTAATGCACGATATGCCACTTTTATATAGTATCTAGATGTGCGTACATGCGTATGTACTGTACTGTACTGTACGTACAGTATCCTCCAAAAGTTTATCACGGTTATGCGAAAAAAACTTAATTTTATGCAAATGTAAAATATACGCA